ATAATAGTTTCAGCTCTATCATTCTCTTGAACCAGAAAATTGCTACCTTAGGGGAAATAACCTTGACACTAATCTCTTGGAAATATTTCAAATAATTTTTCTAACTAGTCTTTTTTCCACACATCAATTGCAGTAAAGATTACTGCAGGTATTCACACCATAAACCTTTTTTCAACAGATAGAAGCTAATTATTATATTTAAGGCATAGTTACATATGTTATAAAGCTGTTACAATGGACAACTTAAATACTATATAAATGTTTTATTAAAAGTTTGAAAAAAGAAGATAACAACAAAAACTAACAAAGGAAAAGAAGAAAGACAAAGACAAAGAAGATGTAACAAAAGATGAAAAGAAATATAGCTTCCAATTTTCTTAGTAGCAAATACAAGCATAAGCATGATTATAAAATTATCTCTTACTCAATAGTTTCAAAAAAGTTCTCTTATTTCTATTATCTATTTTTTTCTTAATCATCAAAACCAGAACTTATCATTTCATTTTTTTCTATTTCATGCAAGAAGTATAGCTTTTTCTGTTAGCAATAAATGTAGATGTCTTTTCACTAATCAGTGAAGTTTAGCCATGTCTGCAAATGGTGTCATCCTTACCTACCATTCCTGCATTGTGGATAATGCTGAATTTTTCCACTTTATATACCAATTTTGCTGCAATGGTCATATAATAAAAACAAAGTCCCATGATTTTTTTTTCTGTCTGTTCATTACTTCCAAAAGAAAAGCCTCTGGTTTCACTTTAAAATGTTTTGAATTAGTGAGTATATTTGCAAGCAAAACTGTTTGGCTTTATTACATTTCATCAAATATGATAAAATGTCCCATCCTGTTGTTCACATTTCCACATAAATTTGAAGTACCTTTATACATTCTGGACAATCTTTCTGGTGCCAAATATCAACAGTATATCATTTATAAAAAAATATAAAAAAATCTCTTTAAGATTAGGGCTTAAGGTAAATTTTAACCCTTTCAATCACATATTTTCTAATTATTCAATTTGTGTACTGTAACCAAATTTATAGCCCATTTTATCATACATAATTTCATTTAATCTTCTTTTGTCTCAAATTTCAATAAAAGTTATACATTTTAGCAATATATGTCCGTCATTTGTACACAGTTTTATTTCAAATTCAGTGTTCAAAACTTTAAAGTATTTATCTACTTTAAATCTTTCTGATAGTTCTGTATAAGAAACCATTGACAAGTATATTCTTTTAACAGATCTTAATTTGGTTTGATGTATAAAAAATTCTAGCTTATCACAATATTAACCATTTATGCTTGCTTATCATTTCTTGTTTATAGAATGCTTCTTGCGATGAGAGTCACAAAGGTTTTTCAGTTTTTCAAACTAGATTTGAATTTATTCCATATTCTCAGAGTGGCACATATAACATAATGATTTGTAAAATCTACATTAATTTTAGCTTTGTTGTACCATGCTGTCCATATTGACAAGTTTAATACCAGACAGCCCTTTAGTTGTTGTTTTTCCTGTTGTCCTGTTACTTATTAAAAGGGACTTTTGATACAGGTAGTTGTCGACTTAAGACCACAATTGGGACTGGAACGTCTGTTGTTAAGCTAGGCATCATCAAAGTTGTTAAGTAAATTATCTGATCAATAATAATAATAATAATAATAATAATAATAATAATAATAATAATAATAATAATAATAATAATAATAATAATAATAATAAAGTTGGAAGGGACCTTGGAGGTCATCGAGTCCAATCCCCTGCTCGGGCAGGAAACCCTACACCATTTCGGACAAATGGCTGTCCAGTCTCTTCTTAAAAACTTCCAGTGTTGGAGCATTCACTGCTTCTGGAGGCAGGTTGTTCCACTGGTTAATTGTTCTAACTGTCAGGAAGTTTCTCCTTCATTCTAGGTTGCTTCTCTCCTTGATTAGTTTCCATCCATTGCTTCTTGTCCTGCCTTCAGGCGCTTTGGAGAATAGCTTGACTCCCTCTTCTTTGTGGACTGCTTTTGTGGACTGCTTTGTGGATTGGAACACTGCTATCATGTCCCCCCTCGTCTTTCTCTTTGTTAAACTAGACATACCCAATTCCAGCAACTGTTCCTTGTATGTTTTAGCCTCCCGTCTCCTAATCATCTTTGTTGCTCTTTGTACTTTGCAACTATGTGACCCCAGGACGCTACCATCATTGTAAATACATGGTGGTTGTCAATTGCCCAAATATGGGCAATGTGACTGTGGGGATGGTTATTTATAAATGTGAGGACTGGCTGTAAGTCACTTTTTGCAATGCCATTATAACTTTAAATGGCTGCTGAATGAATGGTCGTAAGTCGAGGACTACCTGTGCATTAATTTAACCTGTACGTAGATAAGAGTGTATGTGTATTATTTTAAAACATATTCCTATTTAAATAATTTATATGTCTCTTACAGATATAAAACTATTCTGCAAGCTAATCATCGCTTAGTGATTGCTCAGGCAGTGATATTTGCAATTATGACAGTGATGAAAAAGTAACTTTACAAAATGCACATTTATGCTTTTCACACTTTGTCACCATCACTATCAGTTAACATATGTATAAAAGTATAAAAGCACACTTGGATTAATGACTATTCTACTTAATGACTGAATTGCCGGTCCAGAATTGCCGGTCCAGTTGCTAAAAAAGGCTACCAGTATATCATACATAGATTTATTTCAAGTATGCAAGTTATTACAAAGAGAAAATTCGGAAAGGTGATTCTACAAATTGAAATGATATTACCAAGACAGCTAGTAATGAAGGGAGTTGGTGACAATAACATTGCAGGGCTGTCTTTTTTCTGAAAATCTTGATCTACAGTTTTGATTCTGTGTTCTGTTGTCAGAACTGAAGAATGCCAATTAATAACTGAGATTGTCTTTCAATAGCTCCAAAAGAGAAATGGGTAGCTGAGGATAGGTGGATATTATCCATTCCTTTTTTTTTACCCAAGAGCAAAAGGAAAAGACTAGCCTCTTAATCTGAGTTAAATTTGGGATAGAAAAAGAGGAGTTTTAGTCTTTGGAAGAAATCCTAAGGCATTATTTATTCTAGAAATCCTGCAAAGACTGTTTACAAGGGTTATTGCTCTTAATCCGCTTAGTACGTATGCAAACAAATTCTTCATTTCAATGAGACCAAGAGAAAACTAAATTCTGTGTAAGCATTTTCTTGTTAAAAAGTGGGCTATAGGAACATAGAGTCCTGCCAGATCAGGCTAAAAATCCATCTAATCAAACTTTTGGCGTGACCAGACAGTTGTCAATCAGATGCATTCAAGTATCTCAGAAGCATCGACCAGAAAATAATAACTCTTTTTGACTTATTTCCCTGGAACTGCTGCTTAGAATATGTTGTTGCCTATGATTCAGGAGACAATCACATATTGTAGCCATCAATGCTAATATCCACTGTCTGCCATGAATTTATCCAGTTCTCTTAAAGTCCTCTAAGACAACCATCAGAATAGCTATTCACAATGAATTTCTCAATTTAATAATGTTTTATGGATTTTAGCTGTATTCTCCCCCACTTGGTTTTTAATAGATGATGGTTAAGGACCCAATTTTCCCCTCTCTTTTGCCTCATTGGATGGAAAGTGGATCCATACCTTTTACATTCTAAATCATGTTTCGCACTCATTCAGCTAGTGGTAACAGCTTCCTAAAAATAATCCCAATCCACAGTGGTAAGGAAAAAGAGAAAGAATGGGTAGTGTGAACAATGTGCTGGCAACAATTTGCAATTAATAGTTTGTGATGTGGCAGGTATGAAGGGTGAACAAGGAAAGTGCTTGGAATCATACAGAATAGTCTGGAAACCCAGGCCTGGGACAGCAGGAGGAATGGATTTTACATTGGGTATATGTGTGTGTACTTGAATGCCCAAGAATGTATAGAATTCCCCTGAGCCATCTCAGACATAATGGATGATTATAATATTGTATATAATATTATTGCATATATTTTATGCTGTTTCCTATATAAAAACATCTCTATAAACAGCTTACAAATATAACAGCTATAATACAAATAATATGAAAATCATATACAACAATAAAGAGGGAGGGATATGTAGACAAAAACAGAAACAAAACCTTTTATCCAGGTTTTATACAAGAAATACAAAAGAAATTTAAAATATTTAGTACTAAGTGCCTCACAAGCTTCAGGAAAGGACTATTTCAGAAAGTTCAGGGATACTACAGGACCAACCATACTCATAAGTGGCTACAATTGGTGCTAGATAGTTTTTGGTACATGGAGGATGGACTGCAAAGACCTGTCCCAAATTCCTAGGGTCCTTTTATGCCAAAACCAAATTCTTGATCTTGATTCAACAGCCATTTGGTAGCTAATATAATTGTTTGAAAAAATTGTAATGTCTGCCACAATTTGCAACAGCTTCAATTTCTGAGAGTAAAACTAGCTCCCTATAGAACACTTCACAGAATCTAAACTTACCAACAGCAGTAGAATAATACCATATATCATCTCTCCATTAGTGCTAACAACATATAAAATTTATCTCTTTAGCCCACATCAGCAAGAATTTGATGTAAGATCACTATTACAGCACAACTCTATGTTAGCAGGATCAAATGCTGTACCACTCTATAATATATAATTGAATTAACCATGTATCTTTATATCATTATTTTGTGAGAATCCTTACAAACTTTTATCATGACCATATTCAACATAGGGTGCTGAATATCAACTTAATGACATTAAACTATAAGCAGAATTTCATTTCATTTGATGGACAGCACAGGAAACTCAATATATTTCTGCCTGACTTCTTTGTCCCTGATAAAATCCTAATGCCTTGAAATCTGGACAGATTTCAAGGTTAATTTTAAAATACTCTCTTATCTCCTAATTTTAATTATATTGATGATTAAACCCACAAGAAATCATGACATCAGGTAAAATCATGGCAGCTATTGGGAATGGGAATCTTACCTTCTGGGAAACCCTCCCAGACTTCCAAACGATCGTAACGGCAGAATGCACCTCCGGGTGGATTTGTATCTGGTTCCAGTTCAAAGCTTTCAAATTCCAGGATAATCTCTGACATCTTTGGTGCAAAGATAATGTAAGTACATTCAAGGCTGTTGGGATATTTTTCAGGGAATCCTGGTGATTTGATCATTCCAGTCATAGATGTGAAATTTCTGGAGCATTCTGGTCCTGCACCACAAAAGAGACAACAACACATTTCCCTTCTGTAAGAATTTATACAGTTAGCAAGAAAACAAATTATGCCAATTCTCTTTTTGGAGAATTGCCCCATGTTAATCCTGTATTAGTCACACAGCTAATTTGGTCCTAATATTGTACTGATAATTGTACTAAAAGGCAATTCCCATATATTACATGAAGCCCATTTTTCCATTTCTACCAGAGCAAACTGAAAAAGTAAACTTGTGCCAGTTCTGAAATAGAGGGGAAAATTATGACAATGTCATATGGGAACAATGAAAGCGTAAGCTGCAGAAATATTGTCAGCCCAAGGGAAATAATTATAGCCCCTTTAAGCTTAAATCTTTAAATCTTCAGGTTGACAGCCCTTTATTGGTAAAACAGAATGTTTTGCAAGAAGAGGGAGTGTGGTGTTTGGTCGATGGAACAATGGTTTCATATTCCTAGAGCAGTGGCTCAGTAAGTCTGCCAGATGTGACCTATGCCTTTTTGACAAACTAGATGTGAAAGGTAATTCGTACTTGTATCAAGGGTGACTGATTCATTCTGAGCTGTGTTGACACAGGTGCACCAGTAAAGTGATGCTGTTAGTGAAGGTATGATAAATTGTTTGATTACTAGCAATGTTGATCAAATCTAACTAACTTCGGTATTGTGCAAGGCAATTACACAAAAGCCTAATTCTATTGTAGGCCTACAAACTGTCCATATGGATGGGCAATGTCCACTGCCCATGTGACTTCTAATTTCTTTGCAAAAGTAACTTCTTCTGATGCAATTACATCAGAAAAGATAAACATCTGTCCTAAGCATTGATTCTCATACATCAACAGTGATGCAGACATGTATACAGGAAGATGCCATTCCTATAACTGGCAACAAGGAGGTTTGAAAAAAACGTCTCCATATGGGAATGAATGAGAATCTGTTTCCAAATATGATGGCTATCAGGATAATTCCCTGCTGTGTTGCAAATTCATTCATTCATTCATTCATTCATTCATCCATCCATCCATCCATCCATCCATCCATCCACTCACTCACTCACTCACTCACTCACTCACTCACTCACTCACTCACTCATTCACTTCATTCATTTACTCACTCATTCACTCACTCTCATTTATATAGCCATACAATTCAACAGCGTGACCCTGCAGCATACAAGAGGGGGAAAAATCCTTCTACAACGAACACAATATAAGGACAAAAATTATAATTCATTAAAGTCAACTAAAACATAAAATGGTAACTGGACCAAAATACATTGCAACTATTCAATTGGAACTCCACTCAACCTAACTCAAAGGCCTAGGAGAAAAGCTTTCGTTGATTGCCTTTCTAAAGATTTGCAAGCCTGGGATCAACTATATTACTTGGAACAAATTGTTCCAAAAATAGGATCACACTGAATTCCACAAATATATTAGAAAATTAATCTTTCCTTTCTCAGCTGTAATCTTCAGAAAATCTCTTTCTTGCTATCAGATTTCCATTCATACACCAAGGTAGTTTCAAAATAAGATAAATCTGATATGTCTCATAACAATACAGACTGGGATGATGGATATTGCAGTCTAATATATCCTGACTCTACCAAGTTTGGAAATGCTTTTTTATAGCTCTCTTCCCCCTCTCCCTCTTCCTCTCTGGAATGCAAGAAAATTTCCTTCTTCCCTTCCTTCTTCCCTTCTTCCCTTCCTTCCTTCCTTCCTTCCTTCCTTCCTTCCTCCCTCCCTCCCTCCCTCCCTCCCTCCCTCCCTCCGACAATTAAAAGTTTAATGAAAGCTAATCTAATCAACTGGCCATATTTATCTATTCATAGATAAAAGCAGTGGTGGGATTCAAATATGTGAACCGGTTCTCTGTGTGGATGCCGCTTCCGGAAGTCCGTACTGGCCGGGGCAAAAAAAAATTAGCTACCGGTTCTGGTGAAGTGGTGTGAACTGGCTGAATCCCACCAATGGATAAAAGTAGTGACTCAAAAGACATCTAATCTGTTGCATATGTTTATAAATAAAGTCACAACATGCAATGGTGTAAAATAATTCAGAACATGCTGCCTCCTTTGCTACTGTCACATCAATTCAAAGTTATCAAATAAGAGAAAAGAATTAGTTCATATTTGTTTCATTTTTGCTTAGTGTCAGAGATGCATCCAGTATTTGTTTTCAATATATTTTGCTCTATTTTTGTAAGCTTAGTAAAGGAAAACAAATCTGGATCATATCTAATTACAGCTATCTTCATAGACACATCCATATTGATATTTCGACAACAATATATTTATGGTATGCCCCTGCTTTCCTTAGTTTGTTTTTTGCCCCCACTTCCTTTTATAGCCAGGCAGGGTAAAATTATGAGAGGTCTTTGGTGCTCTCTGAGCTTGCTTTTTTTATTGTAGACATTTCATTACCCAATTAGGTAACATCATCAATGCTAGTCTAAACATACCAAGTCCTCCTTCCTTCTGCTATTTTCCACAAGAATAACATGGTGAGGTGAGTCGGACTGAGAAAGAGCGATTGGCTCAAAGTCACTCAGCTAGCTTTGGACCTAAAGTGGAAATAGAACCTCTGTTTTTTAGCCTAGTGTCTTAACTACTACACTAAACTTAACCACCAAACCAAAATGGTTTTACAGCAACTGTAATTCTCAGACCACACATGTGCATGGGAACTTCTTCATTTCTGAACATAGAAATAGCATTTTCACTGTGACATACTATGGCATAAACCTGAATTAATATTACTTTGGGGGCAATAACTTTAAACATTCTGACTTTTGAGTGTGCAAGTTGTCATTTATAATTTTGCCTTAATGTAACTAATGCCTTTCAGAAGGAAATATAAGGCATCATACAAGGAAATCAATAAAGGGAACTGTGGAGTGTCACTAAGATATCAAGGAAAAAAAGCTGTACTGAAAATGCAAATTGTACTTTCTGCAAATTGCTGGTTTGGGAGACCCTTCATTAGATCTTTATGCACTGTGGCCTTAAAATATCCTTTAGGCAGACCAATCAACCAATCAGCTGCTCAGAATTCAAATATAGCTCCAAACAAACAACCAATCGTATGACCAACTGACCACACTGGCATACAAGACATGACCTAAGGAGAATAGGACAAGAAAATCCTGCTGCTGATGTTACCTAGTTTGGTAACAAAACGTTCAAAAATTATATTGAAACAAGCTTGGAGAGCAAACCACAGCCAAAATCTAAAACCCGGACTACAATAATTTTCTATTATTTCAAGATCATTGTTTAATTGTGCTAATTACCCAACAGTGCTAATTACCCAACTTGTTAGGTACCAAAATGTTTTGTCATGGAAGCAAAATCTTTCTATAAAAATTAACATCTTGGGATAGGATGGAATGTTGTTTTTACTTTATTCACTATCTAGTTTTGTTCAAAATAAGTTCCTAGATGCCAAATATTTCTTCAATCTGCATCCAACCAAAGATAAGGCTTATTCCAAAAGTGACTGTGGTCTTTACGCACAAAATTACTTCAAAAAGAATTTGACCATGGGACAGAAGCCATTTGCCAGTCTTTGTCTGAGCAGAAAACCTCCCACATCCCATTCATGTGGCATTTTGTTTACAAAAAATGCTTGCATTCATTTATCTTCACTGAAATAAATCAGGTGGTGTTTGAAGCCTGTGTCATTGCACTCTTTTTAGGACTTTTAGCAGCAAATGTTTTAAAATATTCTGATATTCCACATACCATCCATTCCCAATCCACAATGAATTAACAAAGATTACTATATTGGGAAAAATATTTGGAATATTATAAAAAGACATAAAACAAAATCAGCATATTAAAGGTAAAGAAAAAGATGCATCGATTAAGCAGGACTTTCAAATGAAGCTGAAATTAAATGAATTATTTAATTCTGAACTTTTGCATTCAACAAATATTTAATTAAACACTTCATTGTAAAAAAAGTTGGGAAACCACAACATTTGCAAAATCAGCAATAAAATTAAGAATATACTTCTTTCTCTTTCTCTTATGTTACAAGGTTCAGAAGTTTTCTTTACTACTGTTTTGATGTGCCATTTTTAAATTAAAAAGCTTATTAAATTAGAGCTATGCACACAATACCAAATTTGTTGATTTACTTATTTAAAATTCAAAAGTTGCCAAATCGATTTTCACCCAAATTAGTAACAAAACCTTGTGAACGAACATATTACAGGCAAATAATAGGTAATACTCATCATGATCACAGCTTTCCAGAGTAATAGAATTTTCTATTATGAGAGCAGAATGCAAAAAAGAATTATATTTGTATCAGAACAGACCAAAAGTTAGTGACTTGATTCACTGACTTCCACGGTCCTATAAAAGCAATGTTTTAGAAACTAAGTTGACATTAAATGTTCTTTTAATTCCCCTCTCTCCAAGTAACAGTGACCTTCAAATTGAACAATCCTACTGTCAATATTTCATATTAAAAACAATTAGCATGACAAGATTAAGCAGCTTGCTCACCTCTTTTAAAAATTTCATAGCGAATGGAGAAGCCTGCTCCATGAGTTTCATAATCAGAGACAAACTTGATTAAGAGGTATGGTCCTGTAGATATCACAGGTGGGGGGGCAATTTTGCCACAAAACTTTCCCCACACTCGCCCATTTGCACTGTCTCCATCAATCACTTCAACATAATCGTACCTGGTAGATAAATTGAAGCAAAAAAAAAAAAACTTTTAACTTCCAGTGAAGAAAAAAAAAAGAAAACTAATTAATTTAAGAACCACAGCCATACAGCACAGATAATGAAGAATAATGCTAGCCTGTTTGGAAGCTGTATTATCCTAAAAGATGTGCGCAAAATGAAAAAAAATTAAAATGGACTACATCATGTCGGTAGACATCATCTGGCAAGATGGAACTATTAGGAAGAATAGCACCATTATGGTTACAGACAATATCAGCTAAAGTAACCAATTAACAAGAAAAAGGAAATCTCGTGAGCACAATTCTGTATTATTAAATTGGATTCCTTTGTCTATCATGGCATTGTTATCAATACATAATACACTAAATTCTTTTCAAAGGGTGGTGTTCTTGTCTGAATTCTAAAACATCGTTTTGGCTTTAATTTTTGTATAATACTTGTATTCCGATATGCAATTCTGCAAGTGTATAGTCCACAGAATAATAAATGAAGTTTCACATATTATGCTACCTTTATTGCTTTGCTGCTTTCTTAATTGTTACACATTTGTGTATTTTTAAACATCATATTACTTAAAATGACTATGGTAATATAAAAATGGATTTGGCATAAGGATTGCTCTGTAGAATGGCCTGACTCTGTCTCCTACACACAAGCAAGACACGTGTATAAAACAATAAAAAGGAAATATGCAATAATAAAAATGAAACTCTGCTTCAGCTGCATGAGTATATTAAACAACCCATTTTATCTCAAATGATTGCAAAATAATAAAGGCACATAAAACAATTTAAAAATATGAACTTGCTTCTTGCCAAATCAACCTATAGACCATTTAGATTAAAACTATCCATTCTGGTTTAAGATAGTTCCCAAAATTGAGATTAAAGGATTATTTTCACAATTATCTAAGAATTTCATAACAGCAGATTATAAGTGAGAATTTATTTTACTAAAGATTAAAGACCCCCAGTTATTAACCAAAATTCACATAAACACAAAAATGAAAAAAAATGGTTACCAAATTTCTGAAACATTAATTGGACACCAAATCTTGAACAATAATAACAGGTAGTGGCATTTATCCTGGCTATTCTTTAAAGGCTAAATCAATCAGTCCTCATAAATCTTTACATGGAATATTACCAGGAAGCTCCAGAGATGGAGACTATAGATCAGTGATGGTGAACTTTTTAGAGACCGAGTGCCCAAAAACTGGACCCGCCCCTGCTCCACCCCCTGCCCTGCCTCCTGCCCCGCCCCCTGTCCGCAGGGCCATTCACTGCCTCCAGGGCCCTCCGCAGATCGCCCAGGCAGCCCAGCAGCGCTATGGCGGTCATGGCCTCTGCCTACGCCCTGCAGCATCAACTGTGCACGATGGGGTGTGAGAGCAGAGTCTTGTCTATGCTGCCTGGCTGCCATGTCCTTGGCTGCGCTGCTCCGCGTGGGCCACACTCATGGGCCACTCTCCTTCAGGGGAGCTGCTGGAGAGGAGGGGGTCATGGGGGGAGGCAAGGCTGGGGCAATGGCACATGTGCCCACAGAGGCTCCGAGTGCCGTCTCTGGCACCCGTGCCATAAGTTCGCCACCACTGCTATAGATTGAACAACTTAGAAAAGAAAACATAAATGTCCAGGACCACAGAGACAAAACAAAAGCAACCCACTTCTGCACTGATGACAACAAACCTCACAGAGATGTCCATGAAAATATCGGGAGTTAAACCAGACTCCAGAAAAGTTAACCTAGTGTTTCTCAACCTTAGAAATTTTAAGATGTGTGAACTTGAACTCCCATAATTCCTTAGTTAGCAAGTTAGAGTTGCTAAGGTTGAGAAACACTGATCCAACCAGTTATATCTTAAAGAACTCTACTGTGGAATTTGAATTAATTTCTTTCCTTGCTATTGCAGGTTTAACATGATGCTCTAGGCTTTGCACTCTGATATCTGATACAGATGGATGATGGAAAAAGAAGACAATAAGGGGGAAGAAAAGCTACTTTCCCCTCATATATTTTATCATTACTGCAACTACTGCTCCCAGCAATTACTGATATAGCAAGTAAAGAAAAGAAAGTAGTTTGGGAGCTCATGGCTAGTTGGAATGCTTTTAGGATGGAAAAGGAATTTTGATCTGGAATTTTGAGGCTAGGGGAAATAGCCAAAACTTTAAAAGATAGATTCAAGATAAAGAAGGAACTTGACAGATTTGAACCCTGGGCCCTATTTGACAAAATGCAATTAGTCATGAGAAAATAATTGTAATAGTGAGAAGGATCTAGGAGTCCAAGTGGACAAACATTTAAGTAAGAACCAGCAGTGTGGTACAGCTGCCACAAAAGCCATGGCAGTCCTTGACTGCATCAACAGAGGGATATATTGATCATGTGAAGTGATAGTAATGCTATCAGTTGGAAAATTGCATCCAGTTTTGGTCAGTGTGATATAAAAAAAATGTTGAGATGCTAAAAGAGCACAGAGAAGAACCACAAAAGTAGAATTAGTAGAGAATTAAGGAGAAATTTCCTGAAAATAATAACAATTAATCAATAAAACAGCTTGCCTCCAGAATTTACAGGTGCTCCATGTTTTCAAGAAGAGATTGGACAACCATTTGTCCGAAATGGTATAGGGAAATGATGGTGAACCTTTTAGAGACTGAGTGCCCAAACTGCAACCCCAAACCCACTTATGTATCGTCGAGTGTTGGGTGGGCGTGGCCCATTGGGTGGGTGTGGCCAATTTGGTGGGCATGGCCCATTGGGTGGGCATGGCTGCGGTGGTAATGACAGAATGGGAGGGACTAAAAAGTTCAATCAATCAATTCCAACTTTGCGAGATCTTTTTTTTCCCTGCGAGTTAAAATTGATTGATTGAACTTTTTTTTTTTTTGCACACGGTGGCGGAGGCCTAAAACCCAGCTGAAGGCTTAGGACTGGGGCAACGGCGTGCGTGCCCACAGAGAGGACTCTGCGTGCCACCTGTGGCATGTGTGCCATAGGTTCTTCTGTATAGGGTCTTCTGTTCAAGCAGGTGGTTGGATTAGAAAATCTCCAAGATCCCTTCCAATCTTGTTATTCTCTTTTATAATAATAACAATAACAACAACAACAACAACAATATAGTTGGAAGGGACCTTGGAGGCCATCCAATCCCCTGCTCAGGCAGGAAACCCTATACCATTTCAGACAAATGGCTGTCCAGTCTTTTCTTAAAAACTTCCAGTGTTGGAGCATTCACCGCTTCTGGAGGCAGGTTGTTCCACTGATTAATTGTTCTGTCAGGAAATTTCTCCTTAGTTCTATGTTGCTTCTCTCCTTGATTAGTTTCCATCCGTTGCTTCTTGTCCTGCCTTCAGATGCTTTGGAGAATAGCTTGACTCCCTCTTCTTTGTGGCAGCCCCTGAGATTGGAACGCTGCCTTCATATCACCCCTCATCCTTTTCTTCAATAAACTACACATTCTCAATTCCAGCAACCGTTCCTTATATGTTTTAGCCTCCAGTCCCCTAATCATCTTTGTTGCTCTTCTCTGTACTCTTTCTAGAGTCTCAACATCTTTTTTATGTTCAATGATTATAGAAAAATATGAGTTTTAAAACCCTTTCTTTATTTAAAGCATTTTTATAGCCTCCCATTTAATATTGAACTCTGGACGACTTCCCAGCTATTGAAATTCAGATCTTATTAAAACTTAATTTGGAGATACTTTCCCAGCATTTCTCATTGAGTGTTTGATTCATTATGTGCTGTCGTGTCGGCACTGACTTTTAGTAGCTACATAATTTTTCCCCAGGATAATCTGTCCCTAATTTGGTCCTTGAGATCTTCCAATCGTGCAATACTTGCCACTATAATTGAGTCCATCCACTAAATGCAAGTTGTCTTCTCCTTTTCTTTCCTTCTAGTTTCCCCAGTGTTACAGACTTCTCAAGGTGGTTTAGATATCTTGAGTCTGGTTATTTGTGTCTTCTTTGTGTCTGAGAATGGTTTTGATTTGTTCTATGATCTATTTCAGTTTTTCTCAATTTCAGATACTTTAAGTTATCAACTCCCATAATTCTCCTGCCTGCACGTTGGCTGTAAAATTCTGTGAGTTGAAATCCACAAATCTTAAAGTCGCTGAGATTGAGAAACACTAATTTTTTAAAAAAACTCTTGGCTATCTATGGTATTTTCAGAATCTTCTCCAACACTAGAGTTCAAAATTGTTGATGTTCTTTCTCTTATGCAACTTTGAAGTCCAAATGCCATTAAATTAGAATATCAATAGGCTAAGCTTATCATCGACACCAAATGCTTCTATTAGATAAATACGGGAATATATGAATTATATTTCCTCACTGTCTTCTTCGTCTCTCTACTCTTCCTATGCATTTTGTTCTCTTCTGTCACTTATTACTCTGTCTTGTGTTCTTGATTCATTTCCTTCCAGTCTCTTCTATTCTCCTCTGCAGTCCTTTCTAAAATGTTTTACTCCTGGTTTTCTGACCTCCAAAATTTTCTTCTTCCAAACATTTTTCCCTTTGACCTTCTTTTCCCACTCTTTCACTCTTTATCTTGGATTAAAATCTCCATCTTCATTCCACCTAGTTGTCAGGCTCCCTCTAGAAATGGGATCTATTTGGCTAGGAAGTATTTCTTTGTTGTTATGGCAACCATATGAGATGGGAAAATCTCTCACCAGGTAGAACAGATGTTACAGAATTTATATCAAGTTATACTACAAATCCTTTTTGGGCTTTTACAATTGCTTCTTTTTAAGAAGTGAATTAATCTCCTTCTGTTAGAGATGGTTGAATGTTTATATTCTCCACATTCAAGATCTCCTATCCAGATAATTCAAGATTACTGGCATCACCAAGAAGTGGTCAAAAGATAAATGATGGTGAGTATGTTATTGTCACTGAAGCTTTAGCCCTTTGTATGTGCTTGGAATATCAATGATGCAATAATAATTGTTCTTGTTTTGATACTATTCTTTTCCCCTTTC